TCTTGCCCACGTGCGCCGTGAGCATGGAGCGGAAGTCGTCGACAGCGAGCCCGAACCCCTCCAGCACCCTCGCGAGCGCAGCCTCGTGCTCCTCGGAGCCAGGCTCGAAGGGGTCGCAGGCCTGCACGATCTGGTCGCAGAGGCCGCCAGGAGCGTCCGCGTAGATCACATCGAGCCCCTGGACCTCCTGGGCCGCGGCGGACGGCACCTCGGAGCAGCCCTCGACCTGCGCCCCCGCCGCCCCGGCGGGGGCCTCCAGCACCCCGCCCACCAGCACATCGGTGGCGAGCCGCCGCTGGGCCAGGCGGGCGGCGCGCGCGGCGACCACCCGCGAGTAGGCCTCCTGGTTGGCCTTGATCACGGAGCCAAGGCGCTGCTGCTTGCCGAGCTCCACCTCGCTCTCCGTGGCGCCCTCCTGCTCAGCGACCTCGACGGTGCGCGGCACCGTCGGCAGCCTCGGCGTCGCCCCGACCTCCTCCGTCTCGGAGTCCCGATCCAAGCCGTTGTCAACCCCGCCCATGGGCTCCAACATGTCCTCCATCATCGCCCAGACCCGCATGGAGTCCGCCTCGATGGCGTCCTTAACCTGCTCCGCCCTTGACTCAAGAGTACCTTCAGTCGGCGTCGTCCCGACCTGCTCCGTCTCGGAGGCCCGATCGAGGCCTACGCCGTCGTTGTCAAACCCGCTCACGGGCTCCAGCGTGTCCACCAACATCGCCTGGAACCGCTCTGAGTCCGCCTCGATGGCGCCATCGACCTCATCCAGGGCCCCTTCAACTAGCCTCAGCGACGCCCCGACCTTCTCCACCTCGGAGCCCCGATCGAAGCCTACGCAAACGTAGTCGACCTCGCTCACAGGCTCCAGCATGTCCTCCACCATCGCCTGGACCCGCTCGGAGTCCGCCTCGACGGTGCCCTTGACCTCGTCCTCCGTCTTGGAGACCCGATCGGACCCGAAGCCGTCGACGTCGACCACGCGCACGGGCTCCAGCATGTCCACCACCATCGCATGGACCCGCTCGGAGTCCGCCTCGATGGTGCCGTTGACCTCATCCAGGGTCCCTTGCGACAGCGTCGGGAAGGCGGGGACGGAGGAGAACACGCCGCACTCCTGCACTTAAGCCACGTCCATGCCCTCGCCTGCCTCCTCGACCTCGGCGATCGGGAACTCACCCCCCCAGGTCGTCCCCGATGTAGTGCCCGCAGTCCGCCAAGCTGGCCTTGACGAGTTCCCGGATCAGCATCTCGCCCAGCGTGTGGGCGTGCAGCTCCAGGACCGCGCCCTTTGCACGAAGAACCGCAAGAGGCCCCATGCTGGGCACGTCGCCTTGCCGAACGCCCGAGCTGCTCACAGCCTGGACATGGCTCCCCGCAGACGAGCCACTCTGAAGTCCGCCTGCGGAATCTCTGCGGGCCCTCACCCACCAGAGCCAGAACGGCTGGAGGAGGGAGGAGGAGGAGAAGGAGGAGGAGGAGGACCACTGCAAACCCAGAGGTCATCAACGATGTTGGAATAAGCCCTCCCTCCAAGCTCCCTCTTCATAAGCCCCTAGACAGACGCATTCCCACTGAAGGAACTGCCCCATTGGGAGAAAAACGTTTGAAGACCCTGAAGCATGCCAAAACATTGTTCTCGGGATTCCAACGACACGGAAGAACCTGATTGTTGCGCCTTGACAATCCTGAATCGTACCAGAACGCATTCTTGGGACTTGAACACCGCAGAAAACCAAACAAAAAAAGCGCAACTACTGCACCCTCAAAGGCCTGAAATATTCGAAAACACATTTCCCGGTACGCTGATCTTTGGAACCCGTGCAACTCTTGCAAATGTCAGAAAACGAATGCGCGCGGCGCTAAGGCGAGAACCACATGTTGACAAGGAACCACCCTCAATCAGTGAAACTCGTGCAAATGATTAAAAATAATGTGCGCGACGCTACGGCGAGAGCCACGTTCCGAAAATGGAGCATCCTCAGTCCGTGAAAGCCATGCAAATGTTCAAAACGAATGTGCGCGGCACTGAGGCGAGAGCTACAGTTTGAAAACGACCCGCACTCCATCTGTAAAACTATTGCCAATGTTTGAGCTGCAGGGTCATGAATGGTGAGGAAGACTCAGGCAGAACGCCCAGCCCGTCCTAGGAACTGGCCTCGGGGTGCGAAAGGGAGAACTGATTTACAAGTTTAAGGATTGGAGGAGGAGGAGGAGGCGGAGGAGGAGGAGAGCGCGAGCGACGAGTCGCAAGCAGCGGAGTGATGGCCGACGCCTTGCCCTCGGACGCCCATTCCCCGCGCATTTGTCCGCTCCGTGCCGCAAGATAAACAAAAATGCTCCTCTATGGCCCTCGCCGCGAAGAAAAATGTTAGGAGGCAACTACTGCGAGGTCTTCGTCGGAAAGATTCTAAGGACGATTAAGCCCCATTGGGGGGGGGGGCTGCTACGCCAAATTGGGCCTCGGATAAATAGGGATTAAGCCGGATTAAGCCGGATTGAACGGGATGAAGCCGGATTAAGCCAGACTGAACGGGATTAGGCCAGATGAAGCGGGATTAAGCCGTATTTCGGACCAAGGCAAAATCAGAAGTTGGCCTCCCAGAAGTTGCATCATGCACACGTCCGAGCGACGCCAAAGCACAGGCGGATTGCTCTCGGCGGAGCTGCGGGGGATGAACACAACCACCGTTAGGTCTGGCGTGTCCCCCTACAGGCGGATTTGAGACGAAAAAATCAAAATATTCCAGATACAATCAAAAATTGTGAAAAATGATCAAAAATTCGCCCCCAGAGTATTTTTTAACTATTCTTGAATACTCCTCCTGTAGAGGGACAAGCCCGACTTGAAACCAGCGATTTTTCACACACGTCCCGAGCATCCCCGGCATGCCTCCGCGGCTCCCCCTGGGACCTGTGCTGCACGGACCTGTGAAGCACGGGCGCTCGTGGCGTGAACGCATGAGAGAAACAATCGCCGAGGTAGGCGGAAACACAAACAGATTATCGCAGACCTAGAGGTTGACACCAGCGCCAACATAAGAAGAAGAAGAAGAAACTATGTAAACATAAACTTTCAGCGCTCCGCGCGGATTTCTTGGATCCGCGCTACCCCCCTCCCTGGCACGCGGAGCGCGCCAGGGGCGGGCGCTGGAGGCGCCGCCAGAGGGGTACAGCACAGATCCTAGAAATCCGCGCGGAGCACCACAAGATTGTGTTTATGGCGTTTTTCCTCCTTCGATTATCGCAGGCCTAGAGGTTGACACACCAACACCAACATCTGCGGTGCGCCTCCACAGAAGGAAGCAGGTCTGTGGTAAGATTCTGGTTTCCAGGGTGGCCGAAATATCACTGTTGCCGCCAGCGCCGAATGCTGGGATCATCTTCCCCCTGTGGAGGCATCCCCCCCCGTGTTGGTGTGGGTGCCCAGTCCCAGGCCGCCAAAAAGGAGGCCGGCGGCGCGCGCTGCGGACAGAGGCGGGCAGAAGAGAAGGGCAGCTGAGAGAGGCCAAGAGCGGCGCAGAGCAGGCGCCCGCCACCGGCACTCGGGAAGGTGCCTCCCCACGAAAAAAAACAAAAAAAACGAAACAACATATATATATATATATATATATATATATATACATACATACATATATATACACATATTATATATACACATAAAAACAACAACAACAACAACAACAACAACAACAACAACAACAACAGCAGCAACATGAAAACGACAACAAACAACAACAACAATCATTTAAGACTGGGGACACTCCGTTCTCACCAGTGCCAGGGTTTTCATAGGAGGCGGGCAATACCCCCACTTTGTGGGGGGGCCGGTTCAAGCTCTACCAAATTTCCAAACGACTCTTCGCCACCACCCACACCCAGCTTCCCGCCCTATGACGTTCGGACACTTCACTTCGTGGCATGCGGACGACCGTGGCTACTATTCAGGGCCCCGCGGCCGACGACGACGGCGTGCGCGCGCGAAGAAAAAACGAATGTGTCCAATATGGTATTATTTGACAGGGATGATGGCCCTGGCATGCGCGCAACCGTTGTTGCAGAAGTTCGAAGCACGTGAAAAAGTTGCTCGCAAGAGCCCGTTTGACAGAAATGTTGAAAAAATATTGGGTTTCCTCAGAAATCCGCAAGAGCGCGCAAGATGATTTTTTGAAACTTTTGTTTTGAAAAACCATTGGGTTTTTCATGTTTTTATGTTAAAATCGCTACGAAAACTAAGGTTTTGGAAGGATTTATCTTGCGCGCGCGAGTGTGCACTTCGTGTCATTTTGTGCAAAGGATTCTTGAAGTTTGGTTATGTTAGAACAAGACATGTCATTTTATGTGTTTTTTGACAGGGAAAGCGGGCGTCAACAAAACAACCGGATCTGGATGACATCGTTTTACCTGAGACTTCCTCACGAAAATTATGAAAATGTGGCTGCGGCCTAGGCGCGGGGGGGGGGGGCGTGCACCAGGGGGCCCAACAATAATTATTCTTTAGAATTAATAATGTTCAACAACAACAACAAGAACAACAACAACAACAACAACAGATTTAAAAAAAGGCGCCTCGTCGTGTATGCCACCCGTCTGGCCCCGGTACGTCTGCTCCGCGTACGCCTACGCGCCGCGCCAGGGAGGCAGGGGTCGAGGGTGTGAGCAGATCGGCCGGCCGCTCGGCAGCCGCCGGAAAGAGCGCACTTCTTTCTTCGCGGCCACTCGCCATTGCTCGGACGTCCATTCCCTGTGTTTTTTTCGGTTTCGTGCGTGGTTTTTTCGCCAAATGATCAGGATGCTCCTCGATGGTCCTCGCCGAAGGAAAAGTGCACACGTCCGAGCGATGCCAGGAGACGGGCGTTGTGGAGGGGGGGAGGAGGGGGAGACGGGAGGGGGCTCAACGCAGCGCCCCTCCCGCCTCCAGACTGTGGTGCCGGACGCACGGCGGCGGTGCCGCGTCGGAGGCGGACGTGAGGGTGAGCAGATCGACCGCCCGCTCGGCATCCGCCAAAGCGTCAAGCAATACATTAGGGGTCGGGGGTCTGTTCTGCAGATGTGTCAGACCAAACCGCCGAGACGGACTGTCCCGAATGCGAAGACGGGGACTTACTTGAGACCACCTCTTCATCGTGTTCTTAGGATGAGCGGCTCTTCTGTTTTCAATGAGGCACACATTCTGAGACACAAAACTTCTTTTGTTTGGTCTGCGGGTCAGGAGCGGGCCTGTTCCAGTTAAGAGCTAGCTGAGACACAAAACAGAATACGGAAACATCGAAAAGACTGCCAGTTGCGCTTCGCCTCCCACCCAAGGGGCTTCTGAGATCGTCTGGGCCCGTCAAGAGACTGAGCGATGCACGCACAAACCATGGGAAATTGCCTTGGGGATATCGTGGTCGTGTTCGGGGGGATGTGGCTCAAGTAATCATTTGGGCTCGCGGTCGCGCAACCAACGAGTTGCACATTGTTCTACCTTCGCGTGGTCTCCGTTTCTAACTGTATTCAGGCTAGCTTCAGGCTTTCCTGCCAGATTGGAGTTCTCTTTCGGACAAAAGTTGGCCAACATCTCCCACACATGCTTGGAGAAGGATGCTGAGGCAGCGATGCACTCCCTCAATTACCTAACCGAGCGCCAGATTCGCCACTGTGCCAGCGAGGCACGAGCTGGAAAGACTTCAAATCCCTTGATCAATCCCCTGAGCCTCAGCCCTCAATCCGGACGATCTCTTTCAAGAAAGCCCGGGCCCCAGATTCTCAAATCTCCCGGAGCTCCCGGCGCGCCCGGGGCGTCTTTCCGCATGACCTCCCTCGGGCCCGAGAGGGGCCCAAAGACAAGCCAAGCGGGCCGAAGAGGCCTCTGACCTACAACAAAGGCGAGCTGACGGGATGGGCCACAGGTCAGTAGATTGAGGGGAGCGAGGAGGGAGGCAGGATGTTCAACACGCACGGCCGCGTCTGTCTATCTTTCACTCCACTGGATGGAGAAAGATGTATAGACTCGGCAAAGATGATTGTTCATCTTGGGTTGAGACCGCCACAATAATGTCTGATGTCCGAACCGTGTTCCATGAAGAACGTCAGCCCCTCAAGACCGAGATTAATTAAGAACCTGAAAGCAGACACGAAGAACCTCAGCGACAGGGCGCTGGAAAAGGAGGGAGGACAAGGCGGCAAGGCTACGGGGCAGGGCGCTTGCACCTGGCGAAGAGAATCTCAAAGCTTGCGACGACACGACGCCGAAAGCCAAAAACCGTAAGATGCCCCTCCAGACCGGCTGCCCCCTTACCAAGCCCGTACAAGCCACAATGGATGACGAACGAACAACACACACACACACACACCCATACCCATAGGGAGGTCGTAGGGAGGAGGACTGGTTATGGGTATAGGTGCGGGTTGTCGGACCCTGGGGAACGCTCCCGTTCGAGCGGGGACCCCCATCCGACAACACGCACCCATAGCCCTCTCCGATCCCCCTGTGGGTATGGGTGTGTGTTGCTGGTTCGTCACTGGAAACGATCGAGAAGGTTGCGAAAGACAACGGGTAATTCAGGCCTGGCGCGGGCGCGAGCGAAGCACAGCACAGGGCGGCGAAAGCGCCGGCGTTCACGGGTGGCCCGTCTGGCTCCTCGTGTGCAATGGAGGGTCCTGGCCACTGGGATTCAGTCGGGCCTGTCCCCCTACAGGGGGATTTTCGACGAAAAATGTATATTAAAAACAAAAAAAAAAAAAAAAAAACTTGCTAGATACCTCTTGAAACCATTTGCTTTTCGACAAAGTCTGGGGACTTTTTGTTTTTCGTCGAAACTCCCCCTGTAGAGGGACACGCCCGACATAACAATGGATGCTGGGAGATATCCGGAACATGTTCGGCTGACGGCAAAATCGGAACTGAGCCACGGAGCGTACAGTGCGGGCGAAGCACGTAAGCAACCCTCGCAAGAAAACAAACACTGAAAACCCGCGAGCGAGGTGCACCCGAGGGAAACCTGGAGCACCCTGAAGGCAGCCGTCTTTTTGGCGGCTGCGAAAAATCAGCGCGCAGCGCGCTGAGCGAAAAATTCCAGGAAGCCCTGCCGAAAAGCATATGGTTTCTAGAGGTATCCCACAATAGGGTCCGAGTAGATGAGGTCGAAAGATCGCGACGCATCGCCGATACATCGGCGATGGATCGGCGACGCATCGGTGATGCACCGGCGATGCATCGTCGACGTCGGCGATGCATCGGCGACGACGATGCGAAGCAAATCGGGCCCTACATCGAGCCGCATTGGCGATGCATCGGCGATGCGGCGCGATCCTCCGACCCCATCTACTCGGACACCATGTGGGAGGCCTCGAGTGCATCAGCAAAGACGTGCGACTCAACCAGGCACGCCAGCCGCGGCAACCGAGGCGGTGCGGGCCCGAGCCGGCCGCCGCGGCCCCGGAAGCCACGCCGCACGACATGAAGAAGTGCCAGGCTTCCGACGGCCGGTTTTTCGCCGGGGCAGCAGGAGTCGCAGGAGACGGAGCAGACGGCGGCAGCGAGGGGGGGGGGAAGGAGGGCCTACGCATCGAGAAGATATGCAGTGGAGGCCAGTACACAAGAAACCTGCCACAAGAAACCCAAACCCTGGTGTCCATCGACTTGTGGTTTGGGAGCGTCACGCTGTCCATCGCAAAACCATCGAAACGCGAGAAACACACGGCACCCTGGAGGCCATCAGGGTGTTTCTTGGCATGGGTCTCCACTGTACACAGACCCTCCGACGAATCTTGCGTATACCTCCAGGGAAGGCGTTGGAGCGTAAAGTCGCTGGCTCTCAGTGGTGATTGATACGCCGCCACCCTGCCCTGAGGCCCAGGAGCAGTCCAGTGGAGGGTGCCTGTGTATACTGTTTTGGTGGCGGAGGCCCGACGCCAGCCAGAGGTCAAGCTGAACAGTTGCACAGATGGTGATGTGTACTCCAGATGTCGTAAAAAGTGGGAAGGGGTCACAACCCTCCCGACGGACCAGCCATGGAAGGGCCGCCGTTTGCCCAGACCCCCTCGAGCCCTCCACGACAACGCAAGTCAGACCCCCCCCAAAAAAAATGTGACGCCCCCCTCGCCCTTGATTATTATGGAATATGAGGTCTACGGGACTGCGGGCCCCACGCCTCCAAGTGTCGCACACCCAGCTGGGCCGCGCGCCTGCGAGGGCGACCAGGCACCCCGCAGCGGGTCGCCAGCAGCTGCGCCGCGACGCCCCGCATGAGCGCGGAGGAGGAGGAGGAGGAGGAGGAGGAGGAGGAGGAGGAGGAGGAGGAGGAGGAGGGGGGGAGGAGGAGAGGAGGGGAAGGGGAGGAGGAGGGGAGGAGGAGCAGGAGGAGGGAGGAGGAGGAGGAGGAGCAGGAGGAGGAGGAAGGGAGGAGGAGGAGGAGGCGGAGGTAAGGGGGAGGAAGGGGGGCGAGAGGAGGAGGAGAGGAGGGGGGGGAGGAGGAGGGGGAGGAGGAGGAGAAGGGAGGAGGGAGTCGAGACGAGTCTCGTTTGTCCCTCCGACGGGGGCACGCGCGCAGGCCTGCGCTCCGCCGCAGCCACAGGCATTGGAAGGGGATGGCGACTCGCCGCGACGTCACACAGACGTCGTCGACTGCAACAGGCAGCTTCTTCCTTGGCTCGCCCGCGGCTTCGTTCACCGCAAAGGCTGCCGCACTTTAGGGGCCACATGCGAACCCTACCCCTACCCAAACGATTTCTGAGGGGAAGGGTGGGGTTCACTTCGTTCGGGAGCTCCCGAGCGAAGTGAACCCCACCCTCCCCCTCAGAAATCGTGGGGGGTAGGGGTAGGGTTCGCATGTGGCCCCTGAGCATTGGTTTGATGCAGTGACCTACGTTTCCCACCTCGCGGATGGCGGCGCCGACCGGGCGAGGAGAGCAAGGGGGGGGATCCGACACAAGCTCGTGTGAGCACGCAGGCGTGCCACTGCTCGGCACGAGGCGTCCAGCAGCACAGAGCACAGGGCGCGGGGAGGAGCAGAGCAACCGTCCGAAGGGGGGGCGGGGCGGCCGCGAAGCTGTCCGCGCTCTGCCGCACCCCGGACAGCAGCGACGTGACCTCTCGTGCAGCGGGATGCGCAGGGGGGGGGGCCCCCGTGCTTCTCCGTGTCCTCCTCCATGTCCTCCCTGTCCCCCGTTGCCTTCGCCCCCTCGCTCCCCGTGCCCCCCCCCCCCCGCCCATCCGCCGCCTCCCTCTCCTCCTCATCCAGCTCCTCCGCCTGCCTCCCTCCCCCCCTCATCCCACTTCGAGAGAGCGGGGCGAGGCACAGTCGGATTCTTCTTTCTGGTCGTCAACCTCCATCCCTCATCCTCCCTCCTGCTCCTCTCCTTCCCTCTTCCGTCCCCCTTTCCTCCTCGTCCTCCTCCGACTCCTTCCTCCCTGCCATATCCTCCCTTCCCGTGCCTCCTCTTCTTCCCTCCTCATGCGCATCTTCATCATCCTCATCGTCTTCCCCCTCCCCTCTACTGTTCTTGCCATCCCCCTCCCTCTCCTGCTCCTCACCGCAATTCCTGTCTCACTATTCCTCCTCCGCCTCCCCACCATCATGCGCATCCTCATTCTCACCCTCATTACCAACATCCACATCCTAAAAATCAACATCCGCAACATCATAATTATCATCATGATGATGGTCATCACCGAAAACACCACCGCCATCACCAACACATCCACCACAACCATCGTCATCGTCGTCCTCCTAACCACCACCACCATCAATGTAGCATTCCTCATGTACATGATCCTGCCACCTGTGCTGTTTGCCCTCATCCTCTTTGTGCCCTTGGTCATCATCCCGCCCTCGACCCAACCCTCACACCTCTGTGAGCGGACGGCCACCACGGGCCCCACGAATCTCCTGGACGTGCACGATTTCCGCGACCTTCCACGCACCGTGTGGGCTCCCTTCGGCCTGTCCGGGGAGGCCCCCCCGCTGCCTGGCTCCCCACCGCACGGGCACACCCAGAGGAACGCGTCTTCTGATTCGCCTGAGGCGTCGGTTGTTGCCAGAACTGGGGTTAATGGGACCTGGCTCAGTGATGCGTACTGGGGGACGCCCGGTGGGATTCGAACTCGAACTTCCCGAAAAGAGTCGTGAGAACCAGAACGTGGTCTTCAGGAAAACGAACCATACTTTGATACCACCGAAGCCCCTGGACCAGGAGCTCATATCGAACAGGAACTAAATCAAGCCAGGAGTAGGTGCGACGGCTAGTCCAGGAGCGAGGATGCGGGCCAGACCAATCACAAGCGTCTTCTTGAGCAATCGACCTTATCTTTCGCAACAGTGCAGAATCAAGTTCATTCCCTTGCGCAGGGGACAGGATGAAAGGCGTCAGCCCCATAAGGCACCCTGAACAACGGACACAAACATGAGCCGTTCTACCTTCCACGGCGCACGGCTGCTCCAAAAACTGTCGAAGAGCCATCCAACCACGTGTAGCAGCATTCTCGGCAATCACTATCTGCGGGGCCATAGCACCAGTGGGCATAAAGAAGGGACCAAGGTAGCGCGCACACGGCAAGCTTTTAGCACCTCCCACTTGAGCACCGTAAATTAGACGATTATCCTGATACCCATTGAGCCAGGGTACGAACACTTGCTTATTGAGATCATGTTCCTACCCGTACATGTCCAAAACCTGCGTTGCAGTCGCTTGTTCAAACAAATACCTGTCGCACATCCTCAGCGAGCTTATCATACTGCAGTAGAAAACAATAGAGCAGCCCACATACTTGTCAAAAGATGTATCAACACGTTCATGAAATGACAAGCACTCCGCATGCAGCTCAAGCTGAGACGGGCGACGACGCCAAGTGTTCACAGGCTTCGCGAAGTCCACGCGGATCTCGTCGGGAGCCGACGTCTCACCCATGAGCGCACCAGTAGTGAGCTTTAGATGTAATGGGCCGTCAGCAGCATCAAGATGAAGAATACGCGTGGAACGACGACCTGCTAGAAGAGAAACGCCTGCATCAGGCGGATAGTCATGTAGCACCCCGTTGAATCGGGAATGGCCACAACATTCGTATGCATTGGTCATGACATCCAGAACAGCGACGCACCGAACCTTGGCAGCTCGTAGTCGTCATGCCGCGGCTTGCACAACGAGAGCGGCTTCTTCACGTCGACGATGGGGCACGTATCCTTGGTCAGTCTGGCGAGCAGGTCCGAACGGCACGCTCTTGTAGAGGCCACGGCAAACAGCTCGAAAGAAGGGGCACAGCCCATGAAGATATCGCGTGGCACCGTCGGGCTCAGGCGTTTCCCAGACGATACTGGAGCCAGCGCAAGAAGGAAACCTCCCACTCATTCTCCAGCAGGTGGTTTGGGCCCGCAAGGTGGTAGACATTGTGGGCGTGTCAGGGGGTTTCGATGGTGCAGCCCATGCCAGCCATAGTCTTCTCCTTCTTGTGAATAATACCAAGGACGCAACATCATCAGCAATATCTCACCAGGCATACTCCAAGCAGGTACAGCACGTCGACGAGCAGCTTTCTTAAGTAATGTGATAGCACGTATAAGGGCCTTCCCACCAAGAGTTTCTGCAATGTCATGGTTACTAAAGCGAGTAGGTGGGAGAGCAGCGTGTTGATATTCATAGGTAGCAATATCGACCGATTGAGCACCCAAACCCTCCTGTGCGCCAGGCTTCTGCAATATCTGGACCAATTCCATGGTAGAGGGTGCGCGCTTGCGAACCAAATTGTATCGTCTGCGCTGGGGGCCAACACCGGCACCAGCAAGCTTACGAAAAAAAGGGTCTGGACATCGACATGTCGACGATGTCTCCAAGCATCATGAAGCTGCTGGGTCCCATTGCGATGGAGTGCACGGCGCAACCTGCGAACCTTGCCCTTGAGGATAGCGCTGAGGTTGCGAATATGAGAATCGTGATGAGCATGAGGAGCAGCGACCGCCCGAAGCTTACCACGCAGTGAAACCAGCTCACGGACTTCACGTCGAAGGTTTCTGGTGTCCTCATCCAAACAGCTGCAACGAGAGGAGTACTTCTCAGCGACAGGGAACACAACCGAGCGGACGGCAGCATATCCTCGGTCGATATGCGGGGCTTCATAATACCCCATAAGCGAGTGTTGTACACGCGCAATTCGTGCTTCGAGCTCCGCAAGAAATCGCTCGCGAAGACTCGATGTTTGAAGAGCCAGCGCAGCTCTGTCACGATCCTGGGCAATCTGCTTGGAAGGACACACATGGGGTAAAGAAATAGCCCGATCCAACTTGACAGGCGCATGATCAAGCAGGGCACCAGAGCCAGGCGCAAATTGCAGTTTTTTGGCGAGACGCGCCACTGTAAGACATTAGTAACGTGCTTGCGAAGCCCGACAGGTACCACCAAGAAGTCAATAAACGAGGTGCTATTCTTCTGGCCGTAGAATGTCGGGTACACGTTGCAGAATGTGCTGGGAACACACAGGTGGTGGCGATGGAGTAGTTCACGAAAAGTTTTGGCGGTGAACCCCATGCGAGATGTCGTGTACGGTCCAATGCAGTGGTACTGATCAGCGTGTTCAGCAGACAAAAGAATCATTCAGATCAGCAGATTTCACAAGGGTACAGCGGCATGGTAGCGCAGCCAGTGTGTGTCAGACAGCCACTTGAGTAAACAATCCACAGTAGTGGTGCGCCACGCCCCAGACGCTCGTCCCACAGTCGTGGGTGGAAAGTACATAGCACATACAGCAATGTCATAGTCCTTCCCAATCAATCGTATCATGTCACCACGACCTTGCGCAGCAGCAGGAGGAGACGAGACGATGTGTACCTTGCCGCGCTGGAAAGTCGTGGTGCTGTATCCAATATAGACTCCACAATTAATTGTTGGTGAACGGCCCGCGAGCGTAGCCGAAGTGGACGAACTGGTGCGCCTCTTCGGTCTGCGTCCGAGTCGGAGTATGGGGAAGCACCCGTAAAAGAGCACCCACGAGCATGACCAGGGCCGTGGAGCGCAGCAGCTTGCTGATCTCGTAAAGAGCCTGCGGGCCTGCATCAGAGAGCACGGGCTGTAACCCACGAGCAAGAGGTGCCTCATGCACACCACCTGGAGAAACCAGCACCAGCAGCACGACCTGTCAGCGCAAGGCTCCTCCCAGGCCCATCAGGAGAGGTGTGATGTAGGGCAGTGTGATGCGAAAACGGGTCCCAGACACCCCTCGACCTCCTGAAATGGGCTCCTGCTCCAAGGGGTGAAACACAGAAGAAGACACGCAGCAGCATAAATAGCACGCGTACACCTCTGGTGAGAGAAACCGCGCCCAAAACCCAACGTCATATAGGATGCCTCGCTCGCCACTCAGACGGAACCTTCTGGCATGCCGTGACGCGTGAGCCCACGTGCAGATTGTGGAACGTAAGAACGCGCCTTACAGAAACCACGGTGATTTCGCTCGGCCGTACACTTGCCTTGAGAACCAAACGCACGTGAGCTCCCCCGGGGCTCTCGCCATCCCATTCCTTTCTCCAATCGGCCTGCTCCTCCCCCACAAGCCATGCGGCACAACGTCCATCGGAGCAGGGCGTGTAGAGACAACGGCAGCTCGAAACTGAGCCCCGGACCCGTCCCGAAGACCACACGCACCAGCTTTCCGAGCCGCGCCCAGCCGTGGCGACGAGGGAGTCCCTCTCCCCGCCTTTCTGCTGGATGGAACCAGTGCTGGGCCACCTCAGCGGCCCAGCAAGCGCTAACCTCCTCCCCCTTCTCCTCCTCCTCCTCCTCCTCCTCCTCCTTCTCTGACTACCTACCAGACCACCCCAACCCAACCCGAAGATCCGAATTTGACCCGAGCTTCGGGTTCGGGAGGGAACGGGTTCAATGTTTTTTGTTCCATGTTCCCCGACACCCCCCCTGGAAATGGAGGCAAATTGATGCCTTCGGGCTGGGTTGGGGTGGTTTGGTGGGCGGTGATCGCCCCCTCCGCTGCCTGGACGGTTTCCCCCCGGGGCCGTAGGCGACCAAAGAAGGGGAGGGCGAGGAGGGCAAGGAGGAGGAGGAGGAGGAGGAGGAGGGGCAGGAGGAGGAGGAGGAGGAGGAGGAGGA